CGGTTGTTTCTATGACTCATCTTGACTTTAATAAAGCTTCAGAACTGGCGCAGGAATGAGCTAACCTTTAAAAAAATATATATATATATATATATTTGATATTGTCTCTTTTCTTTGGATAATTTGTTAAAAAGAAAATTATAAAGATCTGGAAATTTTCAAGAAAAAGTTTTTTTTATAAGTTTCAAATTCAATTTTTTTTATATTTTTTATATTTTTATATTTTTATTATTTTTATATTTTAAATGCATATATTTATTTCAGTTTATATTTTGTATAATTTTTTATATTTTAATGGCTTGATATAATAATTAATAGTAATAATTTGGCAATTATGTTTTTATTCAAAGTTTATTATAGAATAAATAAATTATTTTTAAAATTAAATTTAGAAATCTTTTATACTTATGATAAATTAATTAGATTTATATTCAAAGCTTAACTATAATATATATTATACTATTTAAATAAATATATAGTACAATTTCTTTAAATATGATATAATATAACAAAATTATAATAAAAATTTAAAAACCTGTGGATCAATAGTACTGTGATAGTGCTTTCAGGTTACCAAGTACTATTTCCAAGTTCAATATCACTGTGAGGTAATATTACCTAAGCCTAGATAGTACAAAAAGATCATATCCATCTCATGATAATGATCACTACCATCTCAAGGTTAAAATCCTATCCAATCATGGAATAATCAAAAGATTACAAAATATTTTGATCAATTTTAATGCTGAAATCATCTCATTACAAAGATAGGTTTCAATAAGCTTTTGTAAATAAGTTGAAGATCTATATATTGTAAAATCTGAAATACCAATGGTGCCTAGGGCATATTAGTTAGAAGAAATCTCTACCAATTTGACATTTATTCAAGACTTTATATGAATATTATATAGACAGGCTGTAATAAGTCATGTAAAAAGAGTGCTCTGGTAGGATAAAACAATATCCAAGACTCTACATGAATATTCTATAGGCATATTGTAATAAGTAATGTAAAAAGAATATTTAGCAGAATGAGATAGAAAGAGGGTCTTAGATTTGAACTAGTTATTTAACAAGTCAATAGAAAGGACCTGAACATAAACAGGGAATAGTAAGACTTCTTTTGACAACATATCTAGAGAAACTAAATAAAAAGAACAGAGCTAAAACTATAGTTAGACACTACTAGCAAACACTTGCGTCATATATGGGTCACAATTGTAAAAAATGTGTTTACTGTAATCATTAGATAGTACATTGGATAGGGTTTGAAATTATAGATAAGTAATATAGCATTTACAGATTTGTAACTTTCAGTCATAACACACCTGTATATTAATAAACTCAGTTAAAACTGAATATCATTAACCTTGTTGAAAAAAAAATTTCTTTTTAAAATTTTTATATTTATAAAAGTTTTTGTATTTATAAAGAATAATTTTTTATTTAACTTGGAATCATGCCGATCGTTGCATTTAGAAAGGTTAAATTTAGTAGTTATAGTTGCATTTAAAAAGAATTTACTATGCTTGTGTATTCAATTGATTAATAAATATCCAATCTAACCTGATTTCAGGTTATGTGCAATAATAATAATAATAATATATTATATAATACTCAAATATATAGGATTAATAAACAACTATTTGACTTGAATACAAAAAAATATCTATTTTAAAATATCAAACTCTTATTTTGTTAAACTAAATTAAAATAAAAAATACATGTATAAAAATAGTTTTTATTAAAAAAATTTCTATTCAAATTTTTATATAAATAATATACAGTACATAATTGTCGTTAATTGCTGATTTAATAAAATATCGTCGAAATTTTATAATAATCTATCAAGTTCTAACTCTTGAAGAACTCATGTCTTTCTATTTATATACAAATATAATTGGTACATATAAATAATATGCTGTCAGTAGTGTTTATCAAGAGGGTTGACTAATCGATAAAACTAAGACATTCTTATCGACTTAATATAGGATCAACTAACCCATGTAAATGATTTTTATGCAGTTCTTTTCGTTTCTTTTTTTTTTTCTTGTCACAAATATCGCTAAATACAGTGAGATTTATTTGAAAATCAAAATTTATAAACGAAAACAAATCACATGTAATACATAACCTAAAGTAATAATGACAAAGTTAGGAACTCATCAGAACTTTTAATGCCGACATAATTCAAGAAAAAATTATACTTACATTTTGTAATTCTTGTTTGACCGGGGCATAGGCACTTTCTCCGACACCCTCGGATGACTCGGTATCACTCCAATGTTCACCTTTCGCGTGAAATCGCGCACGGCTGCATACTATGTGGGCATAGTACACGGGGGGAACCTGGATTTCCGAAGGAATGACCGATTTAATATTAATAGTCAATACATAAATGGAAGACGATTTTGCGGACTTACCAGTGATACTGATCGTGTACATCTGGCGTATAGGTAACATAAATTATAGCTCAAAGTTTGCAGCCTGAAAGTAGAATTACGGATAAATGTAATTAGGTACAGGTTCAAATCCGACATTAGAAATAATCTGTCTGGTATGAGTATGATAGCTTACATATCGGGGGTAAAATCATTTTCGTCATGTAACACGTGATAATGCGCCGGCCGGGAGGTTCCCTGAAGCCCCGCCTGGCTTTGTAAATCTGTGATGGGGTTTACAGAATTTTTAGTTCAACTACAATTTCCATGACGAGAAGATAACTCGCGACTCACAAAAGTCGAATTCGTACGGGTGTGTAATACCCGATTCCACGACCGTTCCCGGATAACAATTGCCTGTCCTATCGGCATCCTGCCGATTTATCGGAAAGAAACGGGTGTGATGTCGTTTTTGCACGACAACGAATGTGATCGTCGGCCTATAATTTACGTCGAGCGCTCGACAGGCGGCTAACGTTTGTTCAAGTAAATATGATAAGCATCCAAACTAACGGATAAAGTAGAAACCTTTTATTACGCGGATGGTCACCTATTATGTATCTCATTTCGTCTTCAAGGACTTTTGAAAATTGTCCTTCCGAGATACCATCTCGGTAGAATAATATCCTTTCGGGTTTGTGCCCGCATGTTTGGTAAAAAGTTTTTAACAAATCCTTAACCATGTGTGCGAGATCGACTATGGACTCCGTTCGGCTTGCCTGTATTCTAATTGAAGCGGCATACCGTGAAGCCCTGTAATCCATTGATGCACAGAGGGCTGCGATCGAAGGTCGTACTTTATCCCCTGAATAGAAAAAAAAAAATAAAAATAAAAAAGATTAACATTATCGTGGTATTAAGAGAAGAGATTTTTATTTGATGCGAAATCTATAATTGTTATACCAGCCGGTGGGTGAGTTATGTCGGCACCCATTATAATTGTTGGCCGATCGACGACAAAAGGCAGATCCGTCAAATATGAATTCATCCCCCCAAGTTTTACGTTAATTTTTAGGCACACATTGGCGAGATATTGTTTATTGGGCTTAAACGTGTGTTTGCCTTGAACGCATTGCGTCGCGACACCTATGACGGTGTCACTGATACGTTTTATTTCAGCGTAGAGATCTCTTCCAGTGTTGGGAAGAACACATAAAATTAATTGAGGCTGTGATTTTGCCGCGTTACCAGCGTCGAGCCAGGCTTTCTTCAGGTCAGCCTCCGTCGTGCTTTGCACATTGGCGTAACCTATAGGTGGGGTTCGGTTTGGAATATTCTAATAAATTCAATAAACTTTAAGACGCCATCCAGGATATACAACAACAAATAGACGATTAAGCCCACCATTCCAGTGTCCTGACAGGTGTTTACCAGTTCGCGAACGAACTGTCTAATTGTATCAATTCTGAACTTCGATTCA